TCGCACACAAACACAAAGAGAAAAAATAAAGACTGCAGGGGGTAGTTATTTCTGCTTGTCAGACTACAAAGAAGAAACCATTAAGCAATGTTCTACTTGAGTAACTTATTGAATGCTGCATGCACCTTACACTCACTTGTCCCTGCTTCCCCAAGGAAACTGTTTAACATTTGAGAAAAGTTTAAACTTAAAGACTTTTGTTATTTACTTTCTACTTTAAGTTTTTCTAGTTTCTCTTGGCATGTGGTATTTTTCTGGTATTCTGCATGCCATTAGGGATCCATTTTGGCTGCATTTCATTGGGGATTAAAGGTCTTATATAAAACATACCAATTAGGATTACATGAGAAAAAAATGTGCAAATAGTAGCTAAAAAGCCTTTGATTACTTTTGTTTAAATTCTGAGAGACTTCAATATAGTCACCAATTTCTATTTACATAAGCTCACAAAACTGTCCAAACTGTTTTCTTTTAGGGGAAAAACACATTGACAATTATACGAAGCAGAAAAATGATAAAGTTTGTTAGGTAATATATTTCCAAAAGGCTTTGTACTTATACGTAATTGTATAACTATGAGCTATAGTCTCAGAATGCTTTGTACATGTTCTAAGTTTTAGACTGGAAATTTACTATTTTGTTGCCCTCTCCAAACATTTTCCAAAGCCAATATATCTTTTTTTCCAGATGAGGCGACCACATCTGTATACTGCATTCAAGATGTGGACATACCATGATTTTATATAGAGGCAATAAAATATGAGTTAGTAATGTGCGGATCTCTCTAATAAACTGATTGAACCTGGTTATGTGTTATCAATAAAATTATGGAATAATAAATAATTTAAACCTCTCAGGGGCTCATATGCACATCAGCACAAGATAAGCAAATAGCTGCAGACTGAAGAAAGACTACTTTTGAATTTTAGAATATTTATATGGCCACAAAAAAAAGCCAAACCATAACCAAGACAATGGCAAAAATTTTGTACACTCTTATTCCTCCATCGCTTTGTGTCTTAGAGCAATACAATAAACTATTTTTGTACAGTACATTTGATATATAATATCACATAATAGAGTCAACTGTAAGCTAATGAGAAGAGAGGAGGTTTAAGAAAAGATTTAAAGAGAATTCTTTACACAGTTAAGTAGCAGTTTTTAAGTCGGTTTGGAGATCTAGGAAGTGAGAGAAATTTCAAAGGGAAATTATATGAATCTGTTTTCTACAAATTATTCTGAGCCTCCTGAAGTTGGGGATTTAAGATCTTAAGAGGGAGTTGCAATGCTGGATACAGATTTCAGCAGAGTAAGGATATTTATGGCAACATTTCCAGCACAGGGTACATTACCACAAGGGATATGGAGAAAAATGTGTACACAAGAATGATGCAGTGATTTCTGCCTCTACTAGCAAAGGTTAATGTCTGAACAAGCGATGTTTTTGTTGGAAGGAACTTCATTCTGTGAAGCACTTGTAATCATATAGTTATGATAGGAGAAATCATTAAAAGAAAAAGTGGAATAGGAATGAAGAGCTAGACTAAATAGAAATGGTTTGCAAGGCAGTAGATAGGTATCAATGGGTTTACAAAACCCAGAGATGGAAAAATCTGATTACACAATCTGGATCACCTTCCTGATAGTGGAGGATTATTCCCCATTATGCATTTGAGATTTTTTTTAATTCCTGTTTGAGAGTTATTTTGCAGATGCAGAAGAAAGCCAAAGGCAAAGCCTTTTGGCATCTTGTAGCAGAGGAGACGAGGAAGATGTAAAGCTTCCACCATGTGGTTTGACATCACAACAAACTGGGAGATAACACTGAGTATATTAGATCTGATGTCTATGACACATGAAATGTAAGTTGGGGGTGGGAAGTGATCAAAGAGAGTCACCTTAGCACTCCCATTCATGCAGCCGTGTGATGCTGTAACAGTCCCTAAGCAGTTGAACTAGCAGCTGGGGACCAGAACACCATAAGGGCATCCTGGCCATAACTCCTACATCAAAAGAAGGGAATGGCAGCTGAGGAACCTCTGTGGTACCAAAGAATCTTTTTCTGCACTGGGACAGTGTTGCTGGGAAGGTGACTTCACTGGGTTTATGGCCAGGATCCACGGACCATAAAAAGTGTCCCCTACAAAGATGTCTGTTTTTCTGGCTCTATGACAAGAGGTACTCAAGAACAGTAGCAGCTTAATGCTACTCTGATCAATAGCGTAAAAGTAGCACAGTGCTCAAGTAAGATGAGACAAGAAAGAAATCAATAGAGAGATGTAGGTCATTAACCACCTTTAGAAGGTCAATATCTGTGCTGTGAAAGGTTAAATGCTTGACTGAAATCAGCCAAAAGGTAGAGCGTAGTTGGAAACTAAAAGATGAGTTTTTCAAAAAGGGTGATAACAATGGTTTTGTATACAAAGGGACAGCCTGTGAAGATGAAGTTGCTGATGAAAGCAGAGATAGAAGGGCCAGGGGTGAGGCTTTAGAATGGAAAAATGTAATATGGAAAGGAAGTCCATTCACTATGGGTGCATCTAGACTACATTCCTCTTTCAAAAGAGGAATGCAAATGAGGGAAATAAAAAATGCAAATGAAGTTCTGATTTACAAATCTTGTACTTCATTTGCATAATCTCTTCCAATCGCTTTTTTGGAAGATTTAAAAAAAAAAAAAAGCAGTCTAGATGGGGTTCTTTCAAAAAAACTTTTCAAAAGATCCCTTTTTCCTGAAAAAATGAGGTTTACAGGGTTTTCGAAAAAGGGTTTTTTCCCCCCGAAAGAACCCTGTCTAGACTTTTTTTCCAAAGCAATTGGAAGAGATTATGCAAATGAAGCACGAGATTTGTAAGCCCAGCGCTTCATTTGCATTTTCATCTTCCTCATTTGCATTGCTCTTCGAAAGAGGAATGTAGTCTAGACGCACCCTATGTATACTGGTTCACAAGAGAGGTTGCATTTCAATGAAAGCTGGAACAGAAGGGAGGGTCGGGCTGAAAATGGAGCAAAAGATTATGCACCAACATCCATTTAAACTGTAAATGGAATTACTTGGATGTTATGTAGAACAATGGCATGAATTTCAATATCTACAATCATTCATAAGCTGCTACTGAAAATGGAAATCAGAATAGTAGTTGCATTTAGGGCATCTCCTCTTTCTCCTATTTGCATGATTACGTCAGACACAACATGACTAAAATCAGAAGTTAAGTGTAATTTCATTTTAGGGTATTTCTAACACTCCAGTTAAAATCCATGGCTTACCTGTGCCAGCTGACTGAGGTTCATGGGGCTCAGGCTAAGGGTCTGTTTAATTGTGTACATGTTTAGGGTTAGGCTGGAGCCTTGGCTCTTGGACCTCATGAGGGGGGAGGGTCCCAGCCCCCAGGTGCTGGTTGGCCACACTCCACAGTTATGTCCCCATACTAGGTCAGGATGGATATGTCTACACTGCTGGGGGTTTTTTTCTTCCCAAAAAAGATATTCAGTTTTTGAACTGCAATTTGCATATCTTTTTCTGATTCTGTTTGGAAGAGGCTTTTCCAACATTTGGCCTGTCTACACTGGGCCAAATTTTGGAAAAAAAACCCCTTTTTCCAAATATCTCTTCTTCCTTGTGAAATGAGGTTTACAGAGATGCTGAAAAAACGCATCTTCTTTTCCAAATTTTTTACCTCCAGTATCCTGGAAAAACCTCTGTAGTCTAGACATAGACATAGAGGGGGAAGGCGAAGGACAACAGGAGAAAGAAAAGTTGGTAGATGCAATAGAGTGGGAGGAGTAGGAGACAAGTTGAGAGAGAAAGGGGGAAATGGTGGAAAGAGCTTTGAACGTATCTTTTAAAAAAAATCTCATCTATATTAACTCTTGACTTAAGATCTACTCAATGTCATTTAACATTGCCAAAATCCAACATCAGATACTGGTCTTCTAATGCAACTTGCCACACAGTTTAATCCATAGCTGTACAATATTTTCTAAATAGTATATTTACTCATTTAAACTTTCCACTAGATAAATTTTACAATTTTCATTTAGTGGCACTTTGTGTATAGGTCGTGAGGTCCGATCAGACAGCAACAGGGAGACAAATATATTTTAGTAAAACACAAAAATGGGAATGCAAAACAATGTATTTGACAAGTGGATTTTGGGGCAGGTGCATCATCTGAAATACCTTTTTTTTTTAAAATTGACTAGTGCGTCTAAATTAATCCTTTAGTCAGAGACTAATTTGTATTAGGAATGTCCTGTAAAAATCAGAATTATTTAGCTTACCAAATGCTTTTGGAGTTGACTGGGGTGCTCTCCATTAAAAAGAAAAACTGTTAATCCCAACATTAAGGTTGAGATATTAAATCACCCTCACTCAAAAGCTACAAAAACATAGTTGCAGTTCCCATGACAACTGTCCCTCTATCCTTTAGTGCATATACTAATGATAGCCTTTCATTACATGATCACATAACACTGCACAATCTGACAGCCTTGTCATTTCAAAAGCAGTGTTTACTGTAATCTTAAATGGGAGCTAGCTGCTCCCCACTGCATATGTACTCTGTGCATTCTCAGAAATGATCTTTTACATCCTTCCCAACTACCCAGTGTTCTCTGTCCTTCCAGTTTCCTGTGTCTTTTTATTTTGCTTTTTGGTTAGTAACCATATTTTTTTTTTGTTACTAATAGATATTTCTTCAATAGGACTGAATTGGTTTCGACAGACTTTTATTATGATAGTAATTCTACACCCTATTTTGCAGACAATTAGTACTTTTTGACTCATTACAATATCTTAAGTGATTAACAGAACTTTGCAGTAATCAGGGCTACTGATCAGAATTTAGCAGAACTGCATCCCAAGCAGGCCTATGAAGCAGATGACTGCATTTACTTCTGCACTTACATGCAATCCTTTGAAACACTTACTAAAATTCTTACAAGATACAGCACCTTCAATCATGTAGTTAAATAAGGAATAAACTAACAAAATGAACCAATATATTAAAAGACTTTATTCACCATAGAGAAATGTTTACAAATATAGTTTTTAAAAATTAAGCATTTTGATCTGTTGTGTCTCCCATTACTTCAGAGATTTATATAAAGGTGGAAAGGACTAAATGGAATATGCACAAATCAAAAAACATTTTAATGCATAGAAATGGATAATACATAGGATGAAGTCACTATAGAAACAGAGAGTCATTGGGTATTGTAGAACTGTCATACAACAAACATATGCAGTATTCATTTCACAGACTATCAAAACAATTGTTTCTGCAACTTAAATTAAGTGCCATTTAAATTATTTACCCATTTAGAATACAACATGTAAACTTAAGTGAACAGTTATATGCTGAAACAGAATGAGAGTTTAAGCAATGTCTTCACAAAGATATTTGATACACTGTTTACATTTTTTCAAAATTCAGCAGTTTCTATTCCATATGAATTAATTACATATGCAGTGGTCTTTACAGCAGCAGTTTCCACACATTAATAATCACATTGTAAGTACTAGGAAATACCATTGTACCTGTGTGGTAACTGTTGGTAAAAGCTGACAATGAACGGTGATCACTGAAACATTTCACGCTTTGGTGTTTCGGGGTTCTTTTAAAAAAATCAATATTCCTGAATTTACAAAAAGGGTTTCTTTTACAGCTGGCAGATTCTACATGTTGTACAATCTTCTTGTCTACTTACATAGTTTACAAAAGGTACAGTGCAGTGTGTACACCTGAATACTTTGTCAGTAACAGAATCCCATATCAACTTTGTGCTCTTTCAAATCATAACGCCCATACCAGAAAAATTACACTTCAAAATTTCTGTATGTCAAGGAAATAAACATAAAATTTAAATATCTAAATACTTAGGACACAATTTACACATCCATTTTGCATTCTTTACCTTTATTTAGTTGGAATAAAGGAAATTTTCATGTTCAATAAATTTTCCCCAGTTTATTCCAAGCTCACTAAGGGAGTATTGGACCCCTATCAAAAAAAATGTTAAAAACCAGGTTTATAAAACATAAGTCTCCAAAATACTGTTTTATTGGTTTTATCATCTGACTCAAGGAAATAAGACCCACAGAAGCGTCCACACAAGTTACACAGCAGGCAGCGTAAGATGATTACAGAGTACAAGTAATTGGATTGCCTTTTTGTAGCAGAGAGAAGGAAAAAATGAGTTTTATTCTAAAATTAGATAGATTTGTATTCCTTTTAAAAATACCTTCTATTATATTGGTGCATTTCTGAATGAATGACAGTTATCCTCAAATTGTACAAAACCTGGCTCATTTAAATCAATGGGAGATTTACCATGCACTTTACTTGAGCCAGGATTATCTAATACAAAGGTACCTAAAAATATGGATACCCTGTCACCAATATTTGTAAAATGAAATAATACACATATGGATAGCGAAGGCTCAAATCTGGAGTATATCACATTAAGAGTAGTCAGTCTGAGTACTGGGTAGATGTGTGTGTAGCCCAGGAATTTCCCTCTACACACCCAGGTTACATAGCCTCCAGCAGGTCGTCTTACAAACTTAGCCCAATGATGCATATCCTCACAAAGGATTTATGCTCCCTCCAAAGCCCAAATGGGGACGATCAGCCTAGCAGTGAATCCACCTCTTTTGCCTTCTTCACAAAGCACCCAGGTTGCTTTTCTGTATTCAGTGGAACAACACATGTGGCTGCAAAGGGCTTTATGCAGATGCAAAGGAAGGAATATGGATCTGCTGCAAAACACAGGGCGTAATGGTATTAAGTTTCCATTGTCCCTAATTTTTACCCGAAGAAAAAAAAAAACCAAACATAAAACCCTATACAGCAGCACTTCCAGCACTAAGGGAAAAATTGGTCTTGTTCTTCAGGGAAAGAAGATTTATACCTAATTACTGCTGTGGAACCACAGTGCCCTAAATGCCTAAACAAGTCATTCGAGTCACCATATGAAGTTATTTATAGAAAATGAGAATTACTGTTCTGAACCATGATGGCTTCTTTGCAGTCACATCACCTAATAGTGTGCTCTTTCATTCTGGGAAGCCAGTGGTCACGTCCTATTCTAAAGAAACCGTACAGTCACTTGTCTGCAAATCAAAAGTTACATTCCTAATATCCATAGGAATTACTTATGTAAACTATTCCAAAATACATTTCAATAGAAAAGGTATTGTGCCTGATTTCTCCCTTTGGTGACTCCATTAAAAGTAAATTTTCTTGGCTGAGGAACACATTTAACTTTGGTCATACTTGGAGGAAACTGTTCTGGTGCTTCCAAAATGTACTAATTATGCTGGTTTTTAAAAACACCAGTTTCCTTTTTACTATTCAGAACTCCTGTTTGAATAATCTATATTAAACTACTTTGTTACAGCTGAATGCCTTAGGTCACAATCTAAACCAAATGGAATTGTTGAAATGTAAGATCACAATAGATTAGAAAATCATCTCTTAGTCTCTGATTGGAATAATTAGCAGTCCAACTACAGAAAGAATTTCATAACATCTAATTTATCTCACACATCCAGTCAAATGAAAAAGCTAACTGAATATGTAAATACGTATAAACAAGATATGATTCCCTTTTAAATAATTCAATAATGCCAGTTTTGCAAATTGTTTATTTTGCTCATACCAAACTGATTATAGAAGTGATATTAACTCTAGCTAGAAAATAGAAAAAACAACTCAGTTTGCAGTGATTCCAAACAAAATAAAACCAACAAAGGAGAATTTTAATAAAAACCAGTATCTCGGTCCATCAGCTAATATAATGGATTTGTAAAAATGTATAGGTTCATTTCATAAGTACACTGCAGTTTTAAACAGAATAGTGTCTGCATGAGATGAAACTATTCCTACGTAGACTTCATTGGTAATGAGAAACTTCAGAAGATATTTTACTAATGAATGATAGACCCGCATAAGAAGAGGCTGTCACAGTTACAAGATTTGTCTCAGATGACATAGACAAAACAAATTAACATAGAATGAAAAAGAAAAAAGCTCTTTATACTTAATTCATTATGGCTTTTTGCAACATGGCAAAATATTACGGCTTAAAGCAGACATCTCCTCACAGAGGAGAAAAGAATTTTGCAGTCAAATCAAAAGTATATTAAGGAACAAGTAACATGCAGACCCCTCTATTCTATTTGGCAAAGATGACACTGCAGCTTAATGAAATCTAGAGAAGTCAGATTTCTTTAAAAAAGCGGATCCGCTGGAAAAATAAAATTAAAAGTTTTGCTGATATGAATTTAGGTCCATTCATAAATATTGACTGGCAAACATAACAGACTGCAAAACAGTTGGCTTAAAACTCAAAATAATTCAGGAAATTACGTAAAACTGCATCATGTGCCCCAAACTGGAAAGAAACTTCTAAGGAATGAAACAAAATCATAATTTAATATTGTTTTATTTGTGTTTTTCTTCCTTCTTCTCATCATCTCTGTGAAGAACTGGTAGAGGGTGAGCCTCAGTGTTGAAGATCCAATGTTCAAATGGAAGAAGATCATCTTCAGAAAACAGTAAGTATAAGTACCTGGTAAAAGAAAGCAGGTAACATGACAGGACCATTAAATAATATCAAGGTCAAAGACAAGAAAGATGGAACTAATTCACTTTCACAGTTAAATATTATTGTTCTCCTTCTATCAATGAAAATATTAGGTAGCAAGATTTATCAACCAGTGACAATTATTAATGCTTTGGCACCAAGCACCCAGATTATTTAATTAAAATTGGCTTCAAGGCTTGACCATAGCAGGTGATGTAAAAATGCTTCTGTTTCGATAAAGATATAAAGTCTAGGTTCTTAAAGACAAAAGGAAGTCCTATTTAAGTTTCACCCTTTTGCTACATATTTCAGCAATATATAGTCATGACAAGTTTTTTTCTAAATGACCACATGCATCAGAAGAAAACGGAGTGCATATACTACAGTTAAATCCTGTTTGCTTTACTCATGAAAGCATGATTTGGTTAAAGGTATGATATTTAAAAAAAAAAATCAGAGCTTGGAACAATATGTTTGATAAAGGTTTACTAAATAGGAATATATTGATAGCAGTATAATTATCACCATTAAAAAACAAAATTTACTACCTGCTACATGCAGAGATATTGGAGACACTATATTCAGATATAAAGTGTACCATCTCAAATACCACTGCCTGGGAACTGTCGGAAAATGCGGACTCAATTATTACCGCTATATTTAAGATTCTCAAGATTTTATTTCAAATTACAAATTACCTGGTTCTATAGCAAAATATAATCAAAATAATTTTTAGAAATCCCTGTTATCTTTCTTCTCTCCTGTCATTCAGTGCACAGCACAGTTGTCACTTTCATCTGAGGGTGCCATATTGGATGTGTCTACACTAGGGTTTGACTGAAAGGGCTTCCCAGAATTGTTAGCAGAAGCTATGTCTAGACTATGGAGTTTTTCCGTGATGAAAACTCCACCGCATCCAGGGAATACGTCTGCTCTTCCAACATTTTATGCGGAAGAGCAGATATGCTCTTTCGGAAGCCCTGTCTTCCTTGTTCCACCAGAGGAGTTTTTTCCGAAATTTGGCCCAGTGTAGACTGGCCAAATTTTGGAAAAGCCTCTTCCGACAAAACTATCAGAAAAAGGTACGCAAATTACACAATGCAACTTGCGTACCTTTTTCTGATAAAAAGTGGCAGTGTAGACACAGCCAGAGATGGAACTTCCCTAGTGATAGGAACAGTGTACACAGGGTTGTCAAGAACCAAAAGGGTCAGCTTTGCTTTTAGAAAGCACTGGAAACCAGAGTATTTGAAAGCTGTTGGACAGGTGTCAATTTAAAGTATCTGGTTAAAGTCTCGTTATGCGTGTAAGTAAATAAAACTATCATCAAAACATTATAAAACAATGGAACAGTTTTGCAAGATTGTGATTCCAATAGCTTTCTAATAAAATGGAAAATTTCTTCCCTTACTGTCTGCAATGTCCATAACAATGCTGACTGGTCAAAATCCGTTAATGGCTCACTTAAAGGCTTGTATCATAGAGGCAGAATACTAGATTGTACACTAAACTCTTATAAAATCCCATGTTTAGAGACACAAAATTAAAAACCCACTAGGGAAATACACTGTAGTAGAAACTGCAAGATTACATTGCTGCAAAGACTAGAAAGAAATGGGGGAAAAAACTGACGCAAGATTTCCTTTATTTCATTAAAAGCAGAGGAGAGAATGAGGGCCCCTATTTTTGTTCTCTTATGAAGGCTTGTGAACTTATAAAAAGTGAGTTCCTTTTTTTTCCTCCTCCATAGTTGACATGGAAAGTATTCAATACAAGAGGACAATCTTACCAGTTTGTCTGGTAAAACAATGGTATTGATGTTAGCCTGTACAGCCGCTCCCTGAATTACGAACAAGTTACGGACCAACACTTCACTACTCGGATCCCATAGAGTTACATGGCGACCATGCTGTTCATAAACGTGGATCGCCGTTTGTAAGTCGGATCTGCATTTACGACCACTTTGGTCATAAGTGCGGAGGGTCGTAAGCGGAGGTGGTCATAACTCAGGGAGCGGCTGCATAACTAGAACCTTTCAAAGATGTGTGATATAATTTCTTAACAGTAAGTATTAAGTGTCTAACAGATTAAAATGTTTACAAAAAAAGTCACAGAATTTAATTAATAAAAATGCAATCCATCTTCCTGCCACACAACAAAAGCAGCATACTCTTCCAGTCAGATTTTACTTTACCTAAATATCAAGCCTACTCATCTGTAAAGATATGTAGAGATTCATAATTATAAAGTAAGTCTCCTTGCTAGCTTACTTGAGGGTCTCTGAAAGGAAGAAACTCTGCTGTACATCATCATGGCTTTGATGGTTGCTATAAACATCTCTAATTCCAGAATAGCCACCGTCTACTCTGCAATGTTGTTCCAATGCCTGAATTCATGAGAGAAAAAAATAAGTTTGGGAAAATTAATGTTCTGTCAAATTTTACTGTTAGTCTGCCAAATCTAATTATGCTATAGCTAAATGAAAACACTTTTGTCATAGTGTCCTTGGGAAAGATTTGAAATTGCAAGACTAGATAAATCTATTTAAAATTCTTGTATTTTGACTTTAAACAGAGTGCATCTATTGGCATAATTATACATTTAGGAAAAAAAAGCAAAAATGGAGGTTACTTACCTGTAACAGGAGATTCTTGGAGATGGATGGTTCCTATCTGTGTTTCACATGTGGGTATGCATGTGCACCAGATACCTTAGGCCGGGGGATCATGCCTCACCTTGTCTGTTGTTATAGAAGAAGGTCATCGTGTTGTCTGACATTATCTAGGCACATTGGGATTGTATGAATGGTAGCAAGTCTAACTGCTTTTAGGGTATTATCTACACTTGCCCCCTAGTTCAAACTAGGGAGGCAAATGAAGGCGACCGAAGCTGCTAATGAAGCACAGGATTTAAAAATGAGGTAGTCCACATACAATGAGGAGTACCAGTTAATTCGAGTTAAGGGGTTTTTCTCGGAGTACTGCATCTATACGCAACAAGTTAAATCAGGCTAGTCAATTTCCAAAATGCTGACCGGCCGCAACTATGCTAATCAAATGCAGGATATTTAAATCCCGCGCTTCATTAGCAACTTCAGTCGCCTTCATTTGCCTTCCTAGTTCGAACTAGGGGGCAAGTGTAGATGTACCCTTAGTTCCAAGAGACTGAACTACACCCTGGCTTTCTGAGGTGTTCACATATCTTGTGACTGCATATGTGGATTCCCCAACCTGACGGAGGGATGTGCCAGACTGTTACATTCGGTGAGGGAAGCAGAACAGGGACTCCAGTACACATGCTTCAGGTCTATTCAAAAGGCAAGTGGAGCACTGTTGAGGAAGATTGTTGCTATGGTGTTTGTGCTGTTTGTCTGTTATATATATTGCCCTGAGCCAGGCTTGCAGGCAACAGACATGTAGCCTGGTGAGCAGAATTCTGTAAATTTACAAGGCCATGAGGCTTAGCAAAAACAAAAATAAAAATAAAAAGTTGGATCTGGACTGCAGTTTGGGGTTTGTCAATTATTTGTTTTTCAACAAACTGCTCCTGGTATGGAAACTAACTGCTGGGAGGTAGGCCTTCACTGTGGTTGATTCCAGGAGTGCCCCTAAAAAGTTTATGAGATGCTTGGGAGTCAGAGTAGACTTCTCCACGTTTTGGCATGTTGTCAAGGATGCTAGGAGGTGGAGCAAGGGCAAGGTTGCCAACGAATTCCAGATAGGATGTACTTGTTAGAAACCAGCTGCCCGAACATAGGATGGTGGTGTACTCATTTCACCTCAATGTGAAGGTCTTTTCAGTGGTGGCAGCACCAAAGTCCTGGGATATGGCTTCCAGCCCAATGGGAGTACTCTGAACTGTAATGTTCTTGTCTACCAGAAAATGGAGGAACCTTCTTTGGTATGGAAGAAAGTACCTTTGACATGGAGGGCTTCAAACCAGGTGCCATTCTACAGGGAAGGAATTACTGATATCAGCATAACCATAACTTTTTTTTAAATTGGAAATTAATGTTAAGTAGTTGACAGATCAAAAATGGACTTCTACTCTCTCATTCTTGGGAACTATGAAGTAGTTGAGTAAAATCCTTCCTTTTAACACTGAAGTGAAATTTGTTCTCTATTTCCCTGAACAAGGAGAGTGTCCACCTTCTGTTGGAGTTGCTCATTGTAAGAGTGGTCCTTGAAAAGGGAAGGGAGTTTTGGAAGAGCCGGGGAAAGAAACTTAACAGTGTAGCTGAAGTTGGTATCTAGTGTTCATTTATGCATTGCTACAGTCCTCCAGGTCCATGCAGAGTATGCAAGGTGGCCACGAAAGCAGACTTTGGAAACAGATAATCATGGGCATCATTGTAAGACTGCAACTCTTGAGCATCCCATCAAAGTGAGCCACTGGATAAGGGTGGCTGGCTGTTGCCATGGTGCACAACAGTGGTGGACTAGCCAGCTGGGGCACCCCCACACTCATCTGCTCTGTCCATCTGGTGCTCCAGTTGAGGAGCTGGGTTATGGTGTGGGGCTATGCTCCTCTTCCCGCACCCACTCTGTGCTCTTACTGGAGAGTAGGGTGAGAAAGGGATGGCTTGCCCCGCTCTTTCCACCTGCCTGGTGCGCCTGTC